CTGGAGAACCGGTGAGGGGCAGGGAGCGCGGCGCGAGCGGGCGGGGAGAGCCAAGCGCAGCGGGTGCGTCCCAGCGGGCGGGTGGGCTGGCGGAGGCAAGGCACGCACTTACGGTCGGGGCACCGGCTCCGCGGCGCGGTGGCGGGGATGTGCCGGAAGGCAAAGCCAGGGAACTGGGGCAGCTCGGGAGCCGGGGCGCAGAGCCCCCTCCTCGCCGTGCCGCGCCGAGGGCAGGTGGAAGGGGTCCAGGCAGCAGCTCCGGGGCCGGTGCAGAGTGTCTGGCTGTCTGGCACCGGGCAGTGGGGAACCCGCGATGTCCTCCTCCGTCCTGCCGGCACACTGGCTGCGGTGCGCCGCGGGGACAGGGTCATCTCCTCCTTTGGGGTGCGGGGGATGAAGCCGGCAGGGTTAATTACAAAAGAGTCACTAAGTGGTTAGATCAAAAAGACAGAACTGTTTTCCTGTTTTCCGGCTCTGCCTCGCGGTGTCCGAGCGGCTGGGCGGGATCGGCTCTGCAGAGGGCAGGAACGGCAGCAGGCTCCCGGGGCGGCAGATCTGGGAGGGTAGTGTGTTTTCTCTCTCATCTCTTAATATACAAATACTGTCAGAACAATCGTATATATTAATATATTAGTCTAGTCTTTTTGGTTAAACTTTAGGCACTGCTTTGGAAGAAGAATGGAGTTTAAAAATTAAAAAAAAATACTAGTGATTAGCCAGCAGCGTTGCCACATGCGGAGCAGGTGAGGCGGCGGGTTCCTCGGAAGGGGCCGGCAGGTTTCGGACGCGGCGCGGGCCCACGCAGCCCGGGGCGCTCCCCACTTGCCTCCTGCCTGCAGCTCCTGCTCGGGAGGGACAAGGCGAGGGCAAGGGCGGCCGCCTCCACGGCGCTCTGGGGACCCACGGCGTATCTGCGCCCAAAGCTCGAGGAAGAGTAGGAGGAGGAAGAGAAGGTCATGGAGAAGCCGGAGCCAGTGGCGTCGAAGCTACCTCGCCTGGAGCCTGACCGGGACCCAGTCCGGGAGCCCGACCGCGAGCCGGAGGTGGAGCCGGCGCTGCTGACGTTGTAGGGGCTGTAGTAGCCCTTGCTGGACTGGGAGGAGGCCTCCAGCAGCCGCAGGCCGGTCCCGTCCTCGATCATGCTTCGGTCCATCGCGTCCTTGTAGGAGATCTTGAGCTTGGTTTTGGGGCAGGTGAGATACTTGGAGTAGGTGTTCACGTCCCGCAGCTTCTGGGCCGTGCGTGTGTCGATGGTGCCCTTCTGCAGCGCCTCGTCCAAGGAGACGCGGCCCTCAACGTCGGGCTCGATCAGGCCCCCTGTCAGGTACTGCACCTCCAGGAAGCGCTGCCCGGCCTCGTAGTACAGCCAGCCCTTCTTCAGGGCCTGGGCCGCCGACATCTTCGTCTTGGTCCGTGGGTCCTCGAAGCCATAGAAGGCCTTCTGCGCCAGGTTGATGCGGTCCACCATGATTTTGTCGACCAGGCCCTTGTTCACTGCGTCGGCGACGGAGCACTTATCCCCGGTGTTGGGGTCGATGATGCCCCCGGTGCAGGCCTGTGCTTCCAGCAGCCTCTGCCCTGTGATGTTATCCACGAGGTTGCGGCGCATCGCCTCCGTGATGGACACCTTCTCCAGAGTGTCCGTGTCCAGGATGCCCGCCACTGGCCCGGTCTCCTCGGTCGGGTCGCTCCACATGGATATCTGCGTTCGCGTGGGGGCTGGGCTGATGGAGTAGGAGGAGGATGATCCCACAGAGGACGACCGCGACCGGAAGCCACTCATGTTTCCAGAGAGCATGTCTGCAAACTCGGTGATGGAGAGGGTGCCCGAGCGGTACTGGTCCAGGGCCGACTGGTCGATCAGGCCCTTGCTGATGGCATCGTCAATGTCGTACTGGCGCCCCGAGCGCCTGTCGATGATCATTGACTTCACCACGCCGTCAGAGGAGGAGGTGGTGATCTCCTCCCACTCGCACTCCTGCTCCGACAGCTCCAGGTAGGTCTGGTGGTCAATGAGGCCCTTGCGATAGGCTTCGTACACGGACATCTCCTTGCCTGTCTCTGGGTCGACGATCACCACCCTCCGCTTGCGGACAGAGGACTTGGAGGAGGTCTTCCTCTCCCGCTTCTTCTCCTTCAGGGGCAGGAGGCAGAGGCCAGTCTCTGGGTCAGTGATACACCGCTCCATGAGCTGCAGGTAGGTGAGGTTCTCCTCAGTGTTGGGGTCGAAGAAGCCCTTGGTGTCATCGCTGGGATCCAGCAGGATCTCATTCATCTCCTCGTCGAAGAGGCCCCTCTTGTAGGCAATCTCCACAGGGAGGCGGTGGCTCTCCTCAGGATCGATTATGCCTCCCGTTGCAATCTGGGCCTCGAGCAAGCGGATCCCGTGGTCCTTCAGGATCAGACCCTTCTTCATGGCCTGGAAGAGGGAGATGAGCTTTCCGGAGTAGGGATCCCGGTAGCCAGTGACTGCCCTCTCAGCAGAGAGCAGCTTGTCCTTGAACTCGGGGCCCACAATGCCCATCCGCACAGCTTCCTCCACTGTCAGCTTGAGGCCCTTGATGGGGTCAATCACGTAGCCCGTGGCTGCCTGCGCCTCCAGGAGCTCAAACGCGGTGCCTGGCCTGATGATACCCTTCTTCATGGCCTGGTACACGGACAGCCGCTCCTTCGTGGAGTCCACAAATACACCAGCAATGCAGCTGGTGCCCTCCAGGAACTTCTTCAGGTTCTTAGAGACCTCCTCGATGGAGGTGAGGCCCTCCTGGAGGCGCTGGGCGGTGGCTTCATCCATCACCTGCGAACGGACCAGCTCCTCCACAGTGATCTGCTTCCGCAGCCCCCGGAAGGTGAGCTTCCTCGTGTCGCAGAGTGGGAGCAGGAGGAGCCTGCTGTTCTCGTCCTTCCGGCACCGCTTCAGGAGCTGCGTGTAGCTGAGCTTCTCCTCCGTGGACGGGTCCACGTAGCTTCGCACCTCACTGGGCTCGGACAGCATGTCATATGTGTCCTTGTTGATGAAGCCCCGCTGGTAGGCCACCTCCAGGGGCAGATGGAAGCCCAGGTGCGGGTCGATGATGCCACCGGTGGCTATCTGGGCATCCAGGAGTTTGAGGGCCTCCTCACTGGGAATGAGGTCTTTCTTCATGGCCTGGAAGATGGAAATCTTCTGTTCGCTGTACGGGTCTCTGTAACCGGTTACGGCCCTCTCTGCAGACAGGAGCCGGTCATGGATTTCAGGCCCCACCACGCCTTTCCTGACTGCTTCATCAACGGTCAGCATCTCATTCTTTGTGGGGTCGATCATGAAACCGGTGGCAGCCTGGGCCTCCAGGAGGGAGCGGGCCACCTCGGAGTTGATCAGCCCCTTCTTCAGCGCCTGGTAGATACTGAGCTTCTGCTTGGAAGAGGGGATGTAGATGCCAGCCACACAGCCCGACCCGTAGAGGTACTTCCAGACAGTCTCCACGTCCAGGAGCTCCCGGAAGGTTTTGGAGCCCTGCTTCAGCAGGTTGTAGATGTCTAGAGAGATGATCTTGGCCGCATAGAGGTCCTCAGCTGTGATGTGGCGCCGGACGTAGTCATAGGATGTGAGATTCTGCTGCCTGATGATCTCAGTCTTCTCGATGATCTCAATGATGATGATGATCATGCGCTCCTTGGACACACGGCCTGACTGGAACTCCTCCATGAGCTGCTTCCGCTGCTCCTCAGGCAGCAGGTCTGAGTGCATGATCTCCCACAGCGACATGGAGGAGCCCGCCCTGCTGCCCACGGGGATGTCCACCTGTGTCTCCTCAAGCACCTTCCGCGTCTCTGCTTCCGTGTACACCTGGGTGGTCTCCACCAGCGTAGGCTTCTCAGGCTCCCGCAGAGGCAGCAGATACAGGCCCGTCTCAGGATCTTCGATGCACTTCTCCTTCAGCTGCAGGTAGGTGAGGTTCTCGTGGGTGTTGGGGTCGAAGAAGCCCTTGGTGTCATCAGTGGGGTCAGAGAGGGTCCGGTTCATTTCCTCGTCGAAGTAGCCCCGCTTGTAGGCCACCTCCACGGGGAGGCGGTGGCTGTGCACGGGGTCGATGATGCCGCCGGTTGCGATCTGGGCCTCGAGCAGGCGGATGCCGTGCTCCTTGACAATGAGTCCTTTCTTCATGGCCTGGAAGAGGGAGATGGTATTGCCCGAGTAGGGGTCCTTGTACCCAGTGACAGCCTTCTCGGCGGACAGCAGCTTCTCATGCAGTTCAGGCCCGATGACACCAGCCTTCACGGCCTCGTTGACATACAGCTTCCTGTTCTTCACAGGGTCGATCAAGAACCCGGTCGCTGCCTGGGCCTCCAGGAGGACCACGGCGGTGCTGGGCCTCAGCAGGTTCCTCTTCATGGCCTCATAGATGTTCAGCTTCTCCTTGGTCGCCTCCACGTAGACGCCAGCAATGCAGTCGCTGCCATGCAGGAATCTCCTCACTGCATCTGTCTCGGAGAGGTCCTTCACTGATTTCTTGCCTTCCTTCAGCTGCTCGTACTGGGCTTTGCTGATGATGCAGGACTCCACCAGCTCGCTGGCAGGTACAGGTGCCCGGAGACCGCTGAACGTCAGCTTCTCCTGCTTTTTGGTCTCTGCCTCCTCGATGATGGTGATGACAATCTTGATGATCTTCTCGATGGTCACCTTGCCAGTCTTGTACTGTCGAAGGAGCTCTCGCCTGTGCTCCTCCGTGAAGTACTCAGAGTGGATCAGCTCCCAGATGGTCATTGTCTGGCCCTTCATGCTGCCCACTGGGACCTCTACAGTCGCCTTGTCAAAGCACTCCTTCGCCTGGCTGTCTGTGTAGACCTCCTCCTGCTGAGACTGGATGGCTTTGTCCGACAGGGGCAGCAGGCAGAAGCCAGTCTGCTTGTCACGGTGGCAGTTCTTCTGCAGCTGGGTGTAGGTGAGGTGCTCTTGGGTGTTGGGACAATAGAAAGCCTTGACATCATCTCGGAGCTCGGACAGAGCCTCATTTATCTCTGGGTCCAAGTAGCCCCGTTTGTAGGCGACCTCGAGTGGGAGCCGGTGGCTGTTCACAGGATCAATGATGCCTCCAGTGGCGAGCTGGACATCCAGCAGACGGACCCCGGTATTGCTGGGGATGAGGCCCTTCTTGAGCGCTTGGAAGAGGGAAACCGTCTGGCCCGTATAGGGATCCTTGTAGCCAGTCACCGCCTTCTCTGCAGACAGCAGCTTCTCGTGAAACTCCGGCCCCACCACCTCGGCCTTCACCGCCTCGTCGACAGAGAACAGCTTGTTCCTCACAGGGTCGATGATATAGCCGGTGGCAGCCTGCGCTTCCAGCAGGGACAGGGCAATCTCTGGCTTCAGCAGGTTTCTCTTCAGGGCGTCGTAGAAGGTGAGCTTCTGGCCGGTCGACTCCACTAGGACGCCAGCAATGGCATCCGTGCCCTTCAGGTACTGCCGCACAGACTCCATCTCCGCCACGTCCTTCACAGACTTCTTGCCCTGGTGCAACTGGTTGTAGAGGTCCTTGTTGATGATTTTGCTTTCCAGCAGCTCAGCGGCAGGCACAGGGGCCCGGAGGCCCTCGAAGCACATCTGGCTCTTTTTCTCGCTTTCCTCCACAACCGTGATGATGATCCTAATGATCTTCTCCACCGTGATCTTGCCAGTCCTGTACTGCTGGATCAGGTCCCGCCTTTGGTCCTCAGTGAAGTATTCAGAGTTGATGATTTCCCAGATGGTCACCGTCTTCCCTTGGAACTTGCCAAACGGTACTGTCACTGTGGCCTTCTTAAAGACATCCTTAGCTTCTTTGTCAGTGTAGACCAGCTCTCTTGCTTTGGCCGCCTGGTCAGTGAGCGGCAGGAGGCACAGCCCTGTGTCTGGGTCAGTCACGCACCGCTCCATGAGCTGCAGGTAGGTGAGGTTCTCCTGTGTGTTGGGGTCAAAGAAGCCCTTGGTGTCATCAGTGGGGTCGGAGAGGACCTGGCTCATCTCCTCGTCGAAGTAGCCCCGCTTGTAGGCAGCTTCTACAGGCAGGCGGTGGCTGTTGACGGGATCGATGATGCCGCCGGTGGCGATCTGGGCCTCGAGCAGGCGGATGCCGTGCTCCCTGACAATGAGCTCCTTCATCATGGCCTGGAAGAGGGAGATCTTGTCGCCCGTGTAAGGATCCTTGTAGCCGGTTACTGCCCGTTCAGCAGACAGCATCTTATTGTGCAGTTCTGGCCCAATCACTCCCTCTCTCACCGCCTCGTTCACCGAGAGCCTCGCGTTTCGCACAGGGTCAATTATGAAGCCAGAGGCAGCCTGTGCTTCCAGGAGGACCAGCGCGGTGCCTGGGCTGAGCAGCTTCTTTTTCATGGCTTCATAGATGCTCATCTTTTGATTGGTGGGTTTGATTAACAAACCGGCGATGCTGCTCTTGCCCTGCAGGTACTTCTTGATGTCTTCCCTCTGTGAGAGCTCTCCAACACTCACGACGCCCTTCGCCAGCTTGTCTAAGTTGTCCTTGCTCAAAATGCCGGCATCAGCCAGCTTCTCTGCAGATACCTTCTGACGGATGCCGTCAAATGCAAACTCTGGCTCCCCGTTCTGCGCTAAGCCATCCACCGCGTCTCTGCCGTTGGGCACAGCTTTGATATCCGGCACCTGTGTCATCGTAACCGTTGCCTCCTCGGGCAGGTCGTCCGTCTGGATCATGATCTCTCGTGTCTGGGCCAGGGCGGCCTTGTACTCTTCCTGCATCTGCTCAAGCCTCTCCCTGAGCTTCTTGTTCTCCTCTTCCAGGAGTTTCTCCTGCTGCTGCCGCTGTCTCTCCAGCTGCTGCAGCTCCTCCTGCTTGTGCCGGACGTTTTCCTCTGCTTCTTGCTGATGCTTCTTGGCTTCGTCCAGCATGGCCTTCAGCTGCTGCTTCTCCTGCTCCATCTCCTTCTGCTGCCGCTCCTGCTCTGCCTTCAGGTTCTGGGCTTTGTCGACCTCGTCTTTAAAGAGCTTCTCCAGCTTCGTTTTCTCCTCCTCGATGAACTTCTCCTTCTGCAGCAGGGTGTCCTTCTCTGTCAGGAAGGTCTGCTGGAGGAGCTGTGTCTCCTGGCGGAGCTGTGCCTGCTGGGCCACCTGCATCTGGGGTGGGAGAGAGGACAGCACGGTCAGATGGCGCCGTCTGCCCAGGAGGGCAGCACCGGCAGGGCAGCGGGGGCGGGTGGGGGCGGGAGGACAGGCAGCGGGTGTGGTACCCAGCTGGTGGGGGTGCCAAGCTACCCAACCACTCTGCTACGCTGGTTAAGAGTTAAGGGAGCAGAGCTGGGGTTAGGGAGCCACAGCAAACAACACGTGGGTGGAACGAGCAGGGAAAAGACATGAGCTCTTCTGCGGGGGTCAGGGACTCCCCGCCTGGTACCAAGGCTGGGAGCTGGGGACGGCTTTTGTCTACGGAGAGGAATAAGGCAGGATGCGCCACGGGGCCGAAAAGCCGGCACAGGTGGTGGGGATCGCCCCTCCATAGCAGGAGATGCCAGCAGCAGGAGAGGGCAGGGGGTGGGAGGTCCTGCTCCGACAACTCCCTGCCGGGTTTGCCTCTGCAACTGACGCTGGCTCTGCACACACCCTTGACCCGCACGTGGGGGTCCCGCCCCACAAGCAGCTGCTCGCTGTGACCCCTGGCAGGGGGGATCCTGGGGCGGGAGGCTCAGTGACGCCTCCACCTCCCGGATGGTGCCAGCAGCCAGCTCCGCGCCCACGCTCACTGGGTGCAGGCTGCAGCTCCAAGGCTGGAGGCTGCACGCCCGTACTGCAGCAACGGTCCTCAGGGACCAGCCAGCACAGCTCCCAGAGCCTGGCCAGCCGCCCGCGTGCCTGCTGCCCCAGGACACGGCGCGGGGCGGCTGGGGAGAGGAAAGGACTCCCTGCGTACCACCACTGCTAAGGGGGACCCATAGCCCAGTACCTCCTCCGCCTTCTGCTGCAGCAGCGCCGCCTCCTGCTTCAGCTTTTCCTTCTCCTGCTCCAGGTCGGCAATGGCCCTCCGCAGCTTCTCTGCGTCCTGGTCGCTCTGGTGCCGCTGGATCTCCAGAGTGTGCACCAGCGTCATCTTTTCCTGCGTGGCCAGCTCGGTCTCGTGCAGCCTCTCGCTGATCTCCTCTGCCTGCTTCTTGAACCGCTTGGCTTCCTCCTCGGCCTTGGCCTGGGCCATGCTCATCTCCGCCACGTGCAGCTTGAGGCGCTCGGCCTCGGCCGTGATCTCCAGCTGCCGCCGGCGCTCAGCCTCCAGGGTTTTCTGGAAACCCTCGGTCTCCTCGGCCAGGCGCTGCTGCATCTGCTCCTTGTCCTCCTGCAGCCGCTTGGCATGCTCCTGCGCCAGGTCCTTCTGCTTCTGCAGCATCTCTGCCTCAGCCTTCAGCCGCGTGGCCTCCTGCACCGCCTGCATCTTCTCCTTCAGCATCTTCTCTGCCAGCGCCCGCTGCTGCGCCAGGTCATCCTCGGCCAGCTTCCGCATGCGGGCAGCCTCCTGGGCCTCCACGCTGAGCCGGGCAACCTCCTCCGCCACCTGCTTCATCTTCTCGGCCTCCTCCGCCAGGAACTTCTGCGTGTTGTCCTTGTCCTTGAGGATCAGCACCTTGTTCTCCTCTTCGATCCGGCTCTTCAGCTTCGCCAGCTCCTCCATCTGCACCCGGACCTTGAAGAGCTCCTCCTCCACCTGGGCCTTCTGCCGGACGGCGTCGGTCACCTCCTCCTTCAGCCGCTGCAGCTCCTCGTCCAGAATGCCCTTCTGGTGGTCCGTCTCATCCAGCTGCAGCTTCACCTTGGTCAGTTCCTGCTCCACCTGCGCCTTCTGCCGCAGCGTCTGCTCGGCAAACTTCTTGTGCTTCTCCATCTCGGCGTCCGCCAGCTGCTTCTGCCGCAGGGCCGCCTGCTCCGCCTGCGCCCGCTTCGCCGCCTCCAGCTCGGCCTCCTTCCGCAGCTTCTCCGCATCCGCCTGGGCCTGCGCCTTGGCCTGTGCCTCCTCCTCCGCCCGCTGCTTCAGCCGCTCGGCCTCCTCCACCCGCTGCTGGGAGAGGCTGGCGTCCTGCTCGGCCTTGCTGCGGGCGAACTCGGCCTCCTCCGCCGCCCGCCTGGCCCGCTCGGCCTCCTCCCGCAGCCGGTTTAGGAGACTCTGCTC